CAAATTGAATAAGACACCTTATAAGATCTTTAAAGGTAGGACACCCAATATTTCTCACCTCCATGACTTTGGATGTAAGGTTTTTATTTTAAATAATAGGAAATCACTCTTAGGAAAATTTGACTAAAAAACTGATGGAGTGTTCTTAGGCTCTTCAAGTGTTGGGAAATCCTATAGATTGTTTAATAAGAGGACATTAGTGATAAAGGAGACTAATCATGTAGTTTTTGATGAATCTAATTCTAAGAAGTCTAAGGTTAAGGAAGAAGAAGAAGTAGGTGGGATTACCCAAGGAGCAGAAACTATAAATCTAGAGGAAAGGGTAGAACCTCAAAGCACATTGCCTAGAGAATGGAAATATTCTTCGAGTCATCCAAAAGAATTGATCTTAGGAGACCCTTCTAAAAGTATTAGAACTAGGCATAGACTTAAAAAGTAAGGAAACCACTCTACCTTTATTTCAATGACTAAACCAAATTATTAGGAATGATGCCTGGGAGCCAGTAAAAATACCTATGGACCAGAGTATAGTAGGAACCAAATGGTTCTTTAAGAATAAAATGAATGAATCTTGTATGATGGTTAGGAATAAGGTAAGATTAGTGTCTAAGTGGTATAACCAAATAGAAGGGATTTATTTTAAGGAAATGTTTTCCCCTATTGCCTGATTAGAATCCATTAAAGTGCTACCAGCCTTAGCCTATTCTAAGGGATTTAAGCTTTTCCAAATGGATGTCAAGAGTGTCTTTTTAAATGAGAAAATAAAAGAAGATGGGTTTGTAGAGCAACCCCTGGGCTTTGAGAATTCCCAATTTCTAAATCATGTTTTTAAATAAAAAAAGACGTTACATTGACCAAAATATGTACCCAGGGCATAGTATAAGATGCTTAGCACATCCTACTGGAAAGGGAGTTTATTAAGAGGAGCATAAACACCCACCCTTTATCTGACAAGAGTAGGAGATGAATTATTCGTTGTCTAGATCTATGTTAATGATAGACTTTTAGATCTTCTGATAAAAAATTATACAATGATTTTATAAAATAATGAGTAAGAAATTTGAGATCAGTATAATGGGAGAATTGTCATACTTTTTAGGGTTTAGCAAAAGGCAAATGCAAGATGGAACTTTTCTTAATCAATAAAAATACATTAAGAACATCCTAAAGAAATATAAAATTGATAAATCTAAGCCAATAAACACTCCCACAAGATCCAGTGTTTAATTAGATAAGTATTTAAATAAAAAATTAGTTCATCAAAAGAAATATATAGGAATAATTTGATCCCTACTTTACCGAACTGCTAGTCGACCTATTATAATATTTAGTATTTATATCTATGCTAGATTTCAATCTAATCGTAAAGAATCCCAAGCTAATCGTATTACGAACCCAAATATAAGAATTAGGTATCCAAGGAATAGCACCTCTTTTAAAATTATTGGATATTTTGATTTTTATTTTGCATGATGTAGGGTGGATAGAAAGAGCACCACTAGAACATGCCAATTTATATCACAATCCTTAGTCTGTAGGCCTAGTAGAAAATAATACTTTGTTGGACTTCCCACTACTGAAGCTAAGTACATTACCTTAGGAAGTTGTGTAACCCAAGTCCTTTAGTTAAAATAATAAATTCTAGATTTAAGATTACCTGTAGGCATAATATCAATTATATGTTATAACATTAGTGCCATCTACATTTCTAAAAATCTTATCCAACATTTTAGAACCAAACACATTGACATAAGGTATCACTTTATTAGGGATCATGTTACTAAAGGAGATAATGAGCTATATCATGTAGCAACTAAAAATCAACTAACTGACATCTTTACTAAACTAAAGGAGTTTGAAACTTCTAGCATCTTAAGGACTAGATTAGGGCTAATAGATATAAATGCATAAACTTGATTATTACTAAAATCTGAATCTTCAATTTTCTTATCATTCTTCTATTTTTATTTACATGTTTCTTTTCGTTTGTGCTATTATTTTCAGTGTCTCTTCTTTATGTTATTTTCTCCTTCAATTTTTGGTCACTACTAGAATGACATTTTTACCTTACTTTTGTTCTTGAAAATTTGTAAATAATGATTTATATCCCTAAATCAATTAAAGGAAGAAACATCGTAGATTATTTCTCTTCCTCTAACTTTTTTAGCAGTGTAATTTTCTTTTGAAGCAAAAATCTATTTCAAATTAACAATTGGACTTTGAAATTGAGATCTTTTCAATCTTCTTATAGTAATCTATCTCATACAAATAATGTTCAAAGTCATTAAATCACTTTCAAGCTTTTTTGATCAAATTGTTACATTTGTCATATGAATATGATTCTACTTTATGGTTTACTCCTCCTTATATTAGAGAGTGAGTTTTTTTCTTCTCTTATATTTGGAATATATTCTCATAACTAAGAGTCTTTAAAGGTTTTGAAAGGGAGCTAGCTTGCAAACAAGAGGCATAAAATAAGCTTAAAAAGAAAAACTAAAAAGATGCACAATGATCGTCAAATAATTGAAAGATATAAAAAGTGTATCAAAAATCAAAAGATGTGTAAAGTGTGCCAAATAACTAATAAGAGGCACAAAATGAGCCCACAAGAAATTAAGCTTCCTTCTCTTTCAAATATTTAAATCTTAGAAGAATTCATATGACACTTGCTATCTTCAAAGACTTGATTTTTTAAACTCATGATTATGACTAATTACTTTGCTATATTATTCTATAAGATATTTTTCTAAAATAAAGTTTTGATCAGATCACTTTTCTTATCTAATTTCTTTTCAGAGTTAGATTTTTTCTTTTAAAATTTTTTACCCTTAAGGAGCAATATGATCGAATTCTGGCTCAATAATTATTGGTCATCCTGGATGATTCCATCTTTATCCTGAATGATCCGTGCATAAATGGTTATACATTTTAAATTTAGTCGATACAATTCATTATTGATGATCCACCTATCCATCCTGGACAATCTTTATAGTCAAAGATCATACTGGTTGACTCCTCGTGATGATTATCTCTGTCTAATCATCTTGGATCATGTCTGATCATCTTGGGCGATAGGACCGCCTTTTTGACCAATTGTCTTGGATGTCATTATTGCTCTTGATCATCCCAAATAATTCCATGATCATCCCAAATGATTTGCCTGACCCTTTATAAATAATTGATTTGAACTATTTTCTTCACTTCAAAATCCTCTAATTCTTCCTCTCTCTCAGTCAGACTCTTAAGTCATGCTAATGGCTGGTGGTAAACATTCTAGGATGCTAACTACAAGTTCCTTGAGGGGAATTATAGACCTTCGCTTCATTGAGGCCGATGATCAGGCTACTTACCTTTGGTAAAAAAACTATAGGGATTACATGCTCCAAGATAGTTAATCCCCACACACTGACCTATCTGGTGTTAGATCTATTTGCCCATACTACCCTTATCTTCATTCTGACTCTCATATTCTCTTTTTATTCTAAACTTCTATATGAGTTCTTTTCCAATCTTAGAATTAGCTCTACCTACATTGCACTTTAATCATATGTCAATAAAAGACCTATAGAAATCACTTATCAGGACTGCTATAAAATTCTTAAACATTCCACCACTAGAAACAGGCTCTATATCTTTGCCTTGGATCCTGATTTCAACTGGAACCCTATTAATCAATATTTGAGACAAAATAATGTCACTTTCCATGATGGTGCCTCTAGTTCATCAGTACTCAAAGATGCTAGGACCATCCAATATGTCCTTAGAACTTCTGTAATTCTAAAATCTGGTGAGTGTATTCACATTACTCCTTTACTCTCCATCACCATGTATTATATAATGGCTCGAAGGGATTTCAATGCTAGTGATCTTCTTTTTTGATACATTGAAAACTTGACTAGTATTAGGGATACCAAACATAAGAGAAAACCAAATTTGGTCTTATGACACATCATTTCCTATGTTCTTGAAACTAAGTATAACCTTCAGTATCCTATCCCACCAAATTATCAACCTTCCATCAACACCAATAGCTTCTTTCACATCCTTCATAGCACTCATCTCCATTTAGAGCATGAGGATGTTATGGAAATAGAGGAAGAATCTATTCCTAAACTTGTTTTGATCCACAATAAGTTATAGTTGGATCAGCTGGTGGAGAGGTTTGACCAGTGCGAGGCCAGGTCTGACTCCTACGTAGTTAAATAAGAGCAGCAGCATGCAGTTGATGTTCATCATTTTAATGCCTATGTAGCCCAACAATAGCAATAGCACAACAAGGATATGGCATGGTTTGGAGAGCCATTTATTTCTATTAAGATTCCCTTTTAGCCACCACCACCACCTCTCCTTCTTACCTTCAGATTGCTTGGTGCTTTTATGTGATGCTTGTACTGATGTTCTTTAATGTACATTATTCTATTTTGTGTTTTTTTTTTCGTTTTTTTGATGTCAAAAGGGGGAGTTGTGTATTGTTGATTGCTTATGTTCTAATTAGTGTGAGTTTGATTTATTTTAGTGTAATTTATCATGCTTTATTTATGCTCCTTTATTTTTATGTATCTATTTTTAAAATTTAAAAAAAATGTGTGATTTGAAAAGTTCTAATAATAATGTTTAACATCATAAAAACGGGGGAGATTGTTGCAAATATAGACCCAAGTACTTTTATTTTGATGATAACAAATATTATTATTTCTTGAATACTGCTATTCTTGAATATCTATTTTATTCGTCCTGCTCAATAACCTTTCTGGTCCACAAGTTCACTAGGAACTTTTATTAAGGATCCTAATTATACTTAGTTAGTTTATAAGAAATGTGTGTATTATTTAAGTATAATAGTGTCAGTGATAATGATATTAGACTTAGATCATTATCATTTTCTCTAAGGAACAAAAGCTAAGATATGATTAAATTCATTTCCCATGGGCTTTATAACCACCTTGAATGAGTTGGTTCACAAATTTCTTGCTAAGTATTTCCTACCTTTAAAAATTAACAAACTCAAAAATAATATCACAACTTTTTCCCAATTTAAGGGAGAATCAATTTATGAAAGTTGGGAGTGATTTAAGAAAATGCTTAGGAAATTCCCTCATCATATTTTACCTGATTGGTTGGTTATTCAAATTAGAAGAGCAATTTAATAATATTAAACTTACCATTAAAAGAGATTTAGGAGACCTTACAATGATATAGATCAACCTCAAAAGGATAGTGGTGTAGAAGAACCATTAGAGGTTGAATCTCCTATTAAACAACCTGAACCCATTAATGAAACTTACAAACCAATTAAAAAGGTTGTAAAGAGACCACCACCACCCTTTTCTCAGAGTCTAATCAAAAAGAATTTTGATAAGAAATTCTCTATGCTCTTATAAGTATTTAAGAAGTCGATCATCAACATACATTTCTATGAAGCCTAATAAAAGATGCCCAACTGTGCTAAATTTATGAAAGATATTCTAAATGAAAAAAAATAAATTAATTGAATTTGAAATTGTAGCTTTAATTGAAAAGTGTAGTGCTATAATTCAAAAGAAGCTTTATAAAAAATTGAAAGATCCTAGCAGGTTTACAATTCCCATAACAATAGAAGATAAATTCTATGGTAGAGCTTTGTGTGATTTAAGATCTAGTATCAATCTTATTCATTTATCCATCTTTAAAAGATTAGACATAAGAGAGGTTTAACCTACCACTTCTCCCTTGAGCTTGTTGATAGATATTTCACTTATCCTAATGGGGGTAGATGATGTCCTGATTAAATTTTTTAAATTAATTTCTCCTATTGAATTTATTATCCTTGACTTGAAAGAAGATAAGGAGCTTCCTCTTATTTTAGGTAGATGTTTCGTAGCTACAAGGAAGGCTATGATTGATGTTCATAAAGGAAATATGACTATGAGGGTTTAAGATCCAGAAGTGACTATTGATATTCTTAAACCTATGAAGTTCCCTTATGTGAGATTAATTTAGATTTGATATGGAAGATACTATAGTGGAAAGATTTAAAGTAGAATTGTTATGGAGTAATTCATTGGAAGAAGATGTTGAGGAAGATTGTGAGGACTTAGGAGAATCTATTCAATCAATTGAAAATAAGAATGGAATGTTTAGGAAGATGTTTGTGACTTTATAAATTTCATCTTTAAGTAAAATGTTGAGAACTTTGGTACATGAAGCCACTAACAAAGAGCTTAAGGTTTATCCAGACATATTAAGTATTTTTTTAGATAAAAATTCAACTTTTTCTATGATTATTTATACATGATTAAAAAGAGAACAAGAAGAAAAAATAATTCAAGTTTTAGGATATTTTAAGAAATATTTTTGTTGGTCTATTGTTGATATTAAAAGAATTAGCCCTTCAATTTATATGTTTAAAATTTTAATGGAATCTAATTCAATATCAAAAGTTGATCCTCAAAGAAGACTAAACCCATCCATAAAATAGATTGTCAAAAAAGAAATACTTAAATAGCTTGATGTTAGAATTATCTATCCCATTTTATAGGGTTCATTAGTGAGTCCCATTCACTGTGTTCCTAAGAAAGGTGGCTTGACATTAATATCTAATTAATACAATGAGCTAATCCCCACTAGGATAGTCTTTGGTTGGAGAATTTATGTAAGTTATAGGAAGTTAAACAAGGCCACTAAAACAGATCATTTTCCATTATTTAATCAGATGTTAAATAAGCTGGTAGGACATTCATTATACTATTTTTTAAATGGATATTCAGGGTATCACTAGATTCCTATAACACATAAGGACCAAGATAAGACTACCTTTGTTAGTTCATGAGAAATTTCCCTTTAAGAGAGTATCTTTTAATCTTTGCATTTCTCTAACTACCTTACAAAGATGCATGCTATCAATTTTTTTCAAATTTAATTGAGGAGGGCATTGAATGTTTAATGAATCACCTTTCTATTCATGGCACTACTTTTGATTCTTGTCTTGAGCATTTAACTTCTGTACTATAAATATGTGCAGAGATAAATTTAATACTTAATTAGAAAAATTGTCAATTCAAGGTGATTGAAGGTATTTTTTTAGGGCATAAAATTTCTAAAGGAGTATTAGAGATAAATAATGAAAAAATTCATGTTATAGGGAAACTACTCCATCCCACTTTTGTTAAAGAAATTAGGAGCTTTCTTGGGCATTTAGAATTTTATTGAATGTTTATAAAGGCTTTTTCTAAAATTTCAAAACTCTTATGTCATTTATTGGAAAAGGATGTTTCTTTTTTTATATATATAATGTATGTATTGATGCTTTTAATATTTTGAAACAACATGTGATTACTATTCATGTTATTATTGCACCTGATTGGTCCTTACCTTTTATAATTATATGTGATGCAAGTAATTTTACTATAAGGATTATTTTTTATCAAAAGCAAAAGACAAAAATTTTATATCATAATTATACTGCCACTAAAAAAGAATTGCTAGACTTTATTTTACTTTTGATGAGTTTAGGTCTTATTTGATTCACATAGAAGAAATTGTTTACTCTGATCACTTTATATTCAAATACCTTATGAAAAAGAAAGGAAACAAGCCTAGATGGTTAGGTGAATTCTTCTATTACAGGAATTTGAGGTAAAAGTTTTTGATAAAAAAGAACTAAAAATCAATTTGATGATCAGCTGCCTAAATTTTCAAATGAAGAACATGCATCTATTGAGCTTGAAATTAATGAGTTTTTCTTGATAAATATATATTTTCTTTGCATCTGAATATATTACCTTGGTATGCTGATATTTTCATATTTTATTATTTATGGTCTACTTACATTTAATTTCTCCTATGTTCACAAAAGAAAATTCTTTCCTAAAATTATTTTTTTAATGCACCATGTTTTTTTAAAACTTATAGTAATCAAATAATTAGGAGATGTATCCCCTAGGAAGAATTAGAACCCATAATTAAAGAATGTCATGAATCTCTTTATGGAGGGCATTTTGGAGGATTTATAACTACTTCTTAGAACTACTTCTAAGGTGCTCAATCAAGATTTTATTGTCCTGCTTTATTTAAGGATGTTAATGATTATGTTAGGAAATGCAACCAATGTTAAAGAGTATGCAACATTTATAGAAGAAATGAAATGTCATTGAACTATATTTTATAACAATATCAAGCCTTTATCCCACTACGTGGGGTCGACTACATGAATCCTTTTTCTCCATTGTGTCCTATTAAAAGTCAAATTCTCTTTTAAATCTAATAAAGAAAGGTCATTTCTAATATTTTCTAACCAAGTATTTTTAGGTCTACCTCTACCTTTCTTAGCATAAGTCAAATATAATACCTCTACTCTCCTAACCGGGTCATCGGAAGGCCACCATTTTATGTGATCAAATCATCTAAGGAAAATATCTCTAATCTTATCTTCTACTGGAGCTAATCCAGCCTTTTCACGTATATTCTCATTTTGTATCCTATCTCTAAGGGTAAAGCCACTCATTTATCTGAGCATCCTCATCTCTATCACACTTAAATTAGTATTATGCTTCTATTTTAATGGCCAACATTCGACACCATAAAGCATTGAAAGCCTCACCGCCATTTTATGGAATTTTCCCTTGACTTTGAGGAGTACTTTTCTATCACACAACAAGCCCAATGCATTCCTCCACTTCAATCATCCAAATTGAATTGTGCTGAAAATATCCCCATATTTTTCACCATCACTCTGAATAATAGATCCAAGATATCTATAACGTGTACTCTTATTAATGACTTGATCTCCAAAGTCACAATCCCCTCACTAGGTCTATTACTACTAAAATTACACTCTATATATTCCATTTTAAATCTACTCAAGCAAAAACCTTTAGACTCTAAGGTTGACCTCCATAATTCAAGTTTACCTTGAACTCCCTCCTAGTCTTACCAAAAAGAAGAATATCATCAGCAAAAATCATATACAAAGGTACATCCTCTTGTAAATGTCTAGTGAGAACATCCATGACTAAAGCAAAAGATATGGGCTTAAGGCTGATCCTTGATGTAACCCAGCCGAAATGGGGAAATACTTGGTCAAACCATCTTGTGTTTGAACACAAGTAATAGCTGCTACATACATATCTTTAATGATTTGAATATAAGCATTATTAACTCCTTTCTTGTCAAGAACTCTCCATAGCACATCTCTTAGAACTTTATCATATGCTTTTTCTAAATCAATAAATATCATATGTAGATCCTCCTTATTTTCTCTATATTTCTCCATCAAACCTTTTAACAAATGTATGGCTTCCATAGTTGACCTACCCGACATAAATCAAAATTGATTTTGAGAAACATTAGTATCACACAGCAACCTATGATCCATAACTTACTCCCATAATTTTAAAGTATGACACATTAACTTAAATCCTCTATAATTCGCATAATCTTGTGCATCACCTTTATTTTTAAAAATAGGAATTAACACACTCATTCTCCACTCGTCTGACATCATTTTAGTCTTCAAAATAGTATTAAAAAGTTTACTAAGCCAAGAAATTTCTTCATCTCCTAAGTATTGCCACACCTCTATTGGAATATCATCGGTCCAACAGCTTTTTCACCCTTCATTTTCTTTAAAGCCTATCTAACTTCAGTTTTACTAATACTCCGATAAAAATAAAAATCTTTATTTTCATTTAGGGTTCTAAGGTCACTACAATCAATCTTATTTTCAGAATCTTCATTAAAAAGTTTAGTAAAATATCTCATCCACCTTTGTTAAAATCTTCTAAGAAAAGTATTTTTTGATCTTCATCCTTAATACACTTCACTTGAACTAAATCCTTACTACTCATATCTCTTTGTTTGGCTAACTTATACATATCTTTCTCTCTTCTTAGTATCTAATCTATTATATAAACCGCTAAAAGCTAAGGTCTTTGCATCGAATATTGCTTTTTTAGATTACTTACGAGCCTTTTTATATCTTTCTCAATTATTAGAATTTTTAAACTTAAACTAAATTTTATAACAAATTTTATTATTTTTAATCTTTTCTTGTACATTTGGATTCCACCACCAACAATTTTTACTATAGTGAGCTTTTCCCTTTGATACTCCAAGCACTTCTTTTGCAAT